TGTGGGATCCGAACCGGGGCCCTCTGGCATCCCAAGCGAGTTCTTAACCATCGCGCCACTCGGCCGGCCCGACCGTAGTGATATTTAACAATGAGGTATGTAGCACTTTTTCTAGGATGAGTTCACAAACTTAATTGTCCGACCTCGTATATAGCACTTTTAATAGAATGCGTTTGCGAACTTAGTCATCAAACCTGAATGAGGGTTCAGTTTCTCTACATTCTTTTCTGCACTTGTAATTATATGTCTTTGGTTATAGCTGTTCTGATGGGTGTAAAGTGGTATCTCATTGTGGTTTTGATTTGCATTTCCTTAATGGCTAATAATATAGAGCATCTTTTCATGTGCATATTTGCCATTAGTAAATTTTGTAGAAATGTGTACTTAGATTTTTTGACTAATTTTTATTGGGTTATTTGCCTTTTTATTTTTGAGTTGTAAGAGGTTTATTATTTATTATTATTTTTTAATACATTCTAGGTGCAAGTCCCTTATCAGATATGTGATTTGCAAACAGTTTTTCCAGTTCTGTGGACTACGCTTTTTATTCCCCGACTGGTTGTCAAATGATCTTTAATTGAAATATTTTCCTTTGCAGTTCTCAACCAGTTGGGCATTCCATTGCACCACATTTGATGTCATGAGGGTGGCAGCCATCAACATTGCAGCCCACAGACTGGGCAGTCCCAAGATCTCTTTAATGGTTCCAGAGAGTTCTCTAGCTAAAGATCGGTGCCGCATCTGTCTGGCACTGTTGACAGTCTCATCAAAAGTGATATTTCCACTGTGCTTAATGATTTTTTGCTCCTTTCTGTCTGTTGGTGGTTCTTTGAGGGCTTTGGTGATCAGGGCAGAGGCAGAAGGCACCACCTTAATGTGGGCCTGTCTGTTCTACATGGTCAGTTTCACTGTAATCCTCAGACCCTTCAAATCACTGGTTGCTTTAGCGATGTCATCACCAACCTTTTTTGGAGACAGACTCAGGGGGCTGATCTTGGGTGCCAGGGCTTGACTTCCCCACAGGAGCACCTCAGGCATATGATTTTGATTTCGTTGGGGTCGAACTTGGAACTTTGGCAGCATGGTGAAGGTGCTTGGTGTCAGATAAACCTGGATTCCTGACGACGGAAGAAACTTGCACCTTGGTCTCCTCCAGGTGGAAAGCTGAAAAGCTCCTTTCACTT